ATGTGATCTCAGGGGCCTGGGCTGGGTCAGTACTGTCAGATCTTAATCTGTGTGCAGTGGCACTGCACTTCATTGTTGTTATCAGCTTTCAAAAGGCAAGCCCAGAATGCAGTGTTGACAGACGTGGACCCCGATGTGCAAGCATTTCTGGACTGAGACTCCTGCCAGCTGCCCCTGTGTACCCCTCTTCTCCGAGAGCCCTCCTGCCTCTGCCCTCTGCCACACCCTACCGTCCGTGACCAGGATGACGATCTGCTTCCCGGTGGGATTGCGCCGGACGGACTGCAGGACAACCGTCAGGGCCTCTCCGGTGTTCACGCCCGGCTGCTCCAGGAAATCTGGTGTACAGAGGGGGAGATAGCGTCAACTCCCGCCCGCGCGATTCCGACGTACGAAGCAGAGAGGATATTTACAGCCATTTACCTGCACAGTATTCGAGATAATACGAGGTCTGCTAACAGAAATCGTAGCGATGACATTTCCCACTCACACTGCCTTCACAGAGGGCACTGAGCCCTGGTAGACGATAGCAGATGATCATTTCTAGGCCCCTCGTCTGTGAGAGGGTGGGACTCCACACTGCTAACAGAGCCAGCTGGATTACTAATGTCTGTGAGGTGGTGAGACTCCAGGAGCCGAGTAGTGTCATACCTGTGACATTATCTGTATCCTCCATCTCCATGGCCACCTGGTTTGAGGTGAGAGGAACCATCTCTCTAGCTGAGGAGCCAAACAGCACCAGACTGCATTTCACCTGTCCAGAGGAGGCCATGACCTGGCAGTATGAGACAACATGTTACAGGACAAGACAATCAGTCAGGCTGATAGGCCAGATGAAATAGGCCTGAATCTTTATAGTCTCAGACAAGGTCATGATGGGACCTGATACAAGTGTTCAAAATCTCTCACCAAGAGAATCAACCCAGAATTAACATTGAAACACCAACCACAAGAGACAAGTGGAAACTAGAGGGAAGAGATTTTAAAACTGAAAACAGGAGGCATTACTTTACAAAAAGGGTGGTGGGAGTGTGCAACAAACTTCCCAGCTGACAACCTGACTTCTTTCTGTAGTTACAAAGCCAGCTACTAAGAGCTTTTCTCACCATCCCAGACAAATTATCCACAAAGAGCAGAGCCTTCTTCAGATTCTCTGTGCCCACACTGCTTGACGCCTTTATCACAAAGTAGATGTGGATCTCTGGGGATAGAAACAAGAGGAAACTCTGAGCTCATAGCAGGTTCCTAGCCTGTTTGGAAACACTGAGGGTCAGTTCCCACCCTGGGCATGATTTTCCTAAATGTGCGGTCACGTTCCTGGGGCTTCGGGGTGGGGAACTGGGGGTCAGCCTGCTCGCTGAGATCTGGGGTGCCCCCTGAGCTCTGGTCGACCTTGGACACTCCACTGTGAGCCCGTTTCACAGCTCAGCTCTCATCATCCCGTCCCCTCGCAATACAAACACTTGGATCTGAACCGCTGAGACCTGGCCAGACCCAAGTGGGCAAACTTTCACTGGGTCGTTGAAGGAACAAGACTCCCACTTGCACCGCCTTTCGAACCCGGCGACCCTGTACTGGATGAAGCTGTTAGAAGATGGACAGATGGATCTGCGTTGTGTCTGAGAAATCTGAGTTTGAAAGGAGACCATTCTCTGGTATCTCATATTTAAGCTGTGAACTGGTAGAAATGCAGTGTGTTTTCAAGGGACTCAGGTTCCTGCCCTCAGCACCGTCCAAAGGAAACGGTCAGTAAAATGATATCGGATGCCACAGGTTACCGGTAGTCTTTACCCTTCCTGCTCCTCCGGCCTGAAAGATCTAACCTCCTTCAAACAGCACAGGCAATGAAGCATTCGCCGGTGCTCCGTTTGTGCCGGTTTCTGCCGTTAAAGTGGCGTCAGAGCAGCTTTTCTGCAGAGTCACGTGACTCGGTCTCCCAGGAACTTTACAGTGAAGTCGAGGACAGGGACCAGTCTGTGGGAGGCACTTTCCCCAGCTTAGCACACTGAATACTTCCTGTACTCAACAGTTTATGCCATTCATGTCAGGAGGCTTGGTGCCGGTCCCCTTTTACTGCATATATTTGCTGCGCACAAATGTCTGTGACGAAGCATTGACATCGACAGACACTGAGAGAGAGAGAGAGAGAGAGAGAGAGAGAGAGAGAGAGAGAGAGACGCTCTGTTTCCACAATGCTTTCAACGGCACAGGCCCACAGAAACAGGCAGCTCTCGGGGCTGTCTGTGGAGGGGGGCGCCCGCACGGAGTGAACAGATCTTTCTGGGTCGGCGGCGGTCCTGAAGGGCTGAGAAAAATAAAATCTAAACGATCAAAAGAAGAATCAAGAGCAAACGTTTGCAGACACAACGTGGCTGCTGCCACTTTCGACAAGGAGTGTCTCTGAGCCCGGACCTGTGTGAAAGGCGTGACTTGTGTGCTGTAATAATATTGAACTCTGATGGCAGTGGGGTAACACCACCAGCTAGGACTGCATTTACAAAACATTTACCCAACAGCTCCAAGAAAGTGCCGCCCTTCCTCCAGGATGCTAATCCAGAAGTTACGCCAAGTCGTTGAAATTTTTTTAATGGAAGTTTTGGACATCAGAAGCCTGTATCTCCATTATGCCAGTGTAATAGGCGAGCTGGGAGTTTTAAAGAGAGTGATCATACTTCCGATACCTTCCACAAACACGTTCCTCCTTTACTCTGTGCTAGAAGATGTGGCGTTCAGCCTGGGAATAGGTTAAGTGAAACTCAGAGAAAGTAAATTATTATTTTTTAAAGAAATTAGCCAAGTCAATTTCAGTTTCTAATTAAAGCAAATAATATAAGTAAATGTCCACTCATTATCGAAAACCCACTTGTTCTTGGTGTCAGTCATAGCAACCCAGTGCCTAATTTGTAAACACAGGATACAGGGGGAGACTACATCCTAGATAGGACAACAGTCCATCACAGGATGCAAACACACCCTGGAAAGGACACCAGTCTATCACAGGACAGACATTAATTTAGTGACAGTCATTCTAGCATCTTTTAGACGTGTGAGAAAATCAGCACCCCACATAGTGACCATACTAACTCCATACAGAAGGATGTCGGGAGGAAGGGCAGAGCTGACTGCTCCAGCACTGAGCCACTCTATAAGTAAACACACACACAGACCAGATGTCTTTTATGGTTTGAAGTGTTGCCAAGAGATTCAGGAAGTAGTTACAAAATTTCTGTCGGCTTCACCTGCAATGAGTTCACTTCGAAAACCTCTGTTTTATTTGGTTACCATATTGCTACTCTTTTACTGTGTTTGATAAACAGGGGGATAGAATTGAATTACCAGGCTGTGGGGAACAATCACATTGTTTCACAGATCAAGAAAAATAAACCTAACAAGAACCAAAGCTTGGTAATTTTTAAATTAACAGATGGGTAAGGACATAATATTTCCTTCTGAAGAAAGAAGTAAAGTAACTCCTCCCTGAGTGAATGATAAGGAAAAGTGCATATCAGCTTTAGAACACTACTGGTTTTGTTCATTTGTAAAGATGCCTACTGACATTTCTCAGGAGCCTCCACAAAGAAACACCTTTTACAGCTGTCCTGCTCAGCACAAACCTTTGTCTGGATTCAGTAGAATTTCTTCAGAAAATTTCAGGTGCTTCGCAACTGTTTCTGGTTCATCGTATGAATGAGGATCTGTGAGATGCAAGCAGAGAGAGAGAGTAATGGTGAACATGGTCATGGAAAGACTGTTAATGGAGATTGTGATAATCGTGAACATGCTGTTGGTACACTGGAAAAGGAGATTGTGATAATAATGAAAGTGCTGTTGGAAAATATGGTCAGATTGTTAATGGAGATTGTGATAGTAGTGAACGTGCTGTTGGTGAACATGGTCATGACGAGACTGCTTATGGAGATTGTGATAATAGTGAACATGCTGTAGGTACACTGGAAAAGGAGATTGTGATAATAATGAAAGTGCTGTTGGCGAATATGGTCAGATTGTTAATGGAGATTGTGATAATAGTGAATGTGCTGTTGGTGAACATGGCAATGGTGGCTGATGGTGAAACGCTGGTGCAGTTATGGACTCCAGTACCTTCACAGCGGGGTTCTAAACCAGACCAGCTCCCATCCTCCAGGCAGGTTCTATAGACAGAGCCCAAAAGAACCAGGCTTTTGTAACAGGTGTAGCGAACCCGGTCACCTTCCTCAAAGCGTCGACCCACCCTCTGACCGCCCATAGGCACCCCTGGGTTCTGGCACAGTGACGCTGAGAAAGAGACACCCCAGAAAATCAGTCTCAACATCATTCAGGAGCCCCCAGATCCTACCCACTGCGATGAGCAAATTCAATTTCAGTGGTAGCTGCACAACACAAAAACCTTACTGCTGCATTAGAAAGGGCTTAAAGATGAATAAGCAAAACCATTTCTGATCTCAAAGTAATGGCATAGACTGGCGGGTAAAGGAACCAATCTCTTTGTAACAATTCTAAATAACTACAAGTATACAGTGGCTGTAATGTCAAAGAAACACAAAGAACTTCACACACTGCACTGACGTGCAGCCCCATCTGGGCCACACACAGCAGCACCTCTATGCACAGATCAGGGGCAGGAGAGAGAATCTGTTGCACCAGGGGGATTAAGGAGGAACCTGAGGGAGGACAGACCATGTCCCCCAGAGTGTAATTTAGTCAGGACACCGGGGTTGACACCCCTACTCTTACTGACAGTGTCCTGGGATCTGAACTGACCAGCGGTCTGGACACCTCTACTCTTACTGACAGTGTCTG